GGTCGTGCACACAATATTCCCTAATGATTGGATAAAGGACAACTTTCAATGAGGTGGAATTTTAACTTTTTCGCACTGGAGGAAGTTCGATCGATCGAACCTTGAACTTGGATCGATCGAACCTATCGAACCCTGGCTAGATCGATCTAACTGGCTGAGCTTTTTAGAAAAAGACAAATTCGAGATATTTTTAGGAGATATTTATGAGAAAAGGACAAAAGTGGTTAGTAGGTGGTACAGCTGTGGATAGGATCAATCATTTGAATAAGGACAAAAGTGTTCGATCGATCGAAGGATGGTGTTGGATCGATAGAACTTTTGGAACTTTATGCTTTTGGGTCAAGGCTTGGATCTATCTTGAAGTGCTGAGATCGATCATTGTTCGATCAATCGAACCTTGAACTTGGATTGATCGAACTTTGCTACTTGTCACATTTGGCTTCATTTACTTCCCTCTTTCTCCACTTTGCTCATTTCTTTGTTTAATCTCAGAATTGCTTCAATTAAGCTCTTATTTGGCTGAGTTAGCTTATTTTTGGGATGAGTGCCTGAAAAAGGAAATAATACGAAATCAATCTAAAACGGTAAAGTAAGATAGATAAAGGTACTAGAATGCCTAAGCTTAAGGGGTTTAAATGCACACTTTTCAGTGCTCATCAAAAAGCTTTATGACAATGTTTATCCCACACGAACCGTACACCCTTCTTAGTCAGATGAGTGAGTGGTCCTGCTACCTTTGAGAACCCCTGGATGAACCTCCTGTAATATCCTGCCTAACCGAGGAAACTTCAAATCTCAGTAGGTGAAGTAGACTGTCCCCACTCAACCACCGCTGAAATCTTGGCTGGATCCACCGCTATTCCCCTCTCTGACACCATGTGCCCAGAAATTTCACCTCCCGCTACCAAAATTCACACTTCTCGAACTTGGCATACAACTGGTGCTCACGAAGCGTCTGCAAAACTATCCGAAGATGTCTAGCATAATAGTCATTAGACCTAGAATAGATCAAGATATCATCGATGAAAACAATGACAAAATGATCAAAATAGGCTTTTAAGACCATGTTCATCAAATCTATGAAGACCGCTGGTGTATTAGTCAACCCCGAACGGCATCACCCGAAACTCATAAGATCCATATCTAGTGAGAAACGCTGTCCTCAGAACATCCTACTCCCTAACTCGAAGTTAATAATATCCAGACCACAGATCAATCTTAGGGAAATAAGTAGCTCCCTTCAACTGATCAAACAAGTCATCAATCCTGGGCAAAGGATACTTGTTACAAATAGTAACCTTGTTCAACTCCTTGTAATCTATACACAGGCAGAGCGAACCATCCTTCTTCTTCATAAATATAACTGGTGTTCCCCAGGGTGAAGTACTCCTACGAATGAAAACCTGGCTGAGTAGCTGCTGAATCTGATCCCTCAGCTCGCGCATCTCTACTGGTGCCATCCTATACGGTGCTCTAGCAATAGGCGTAGTGCCTGGAGCTAAGTTGATCACAAAGTCGATCTCGCAACTAGGTGGCAATCCCTGGAATCTCCTGAAATACATCCGGGAAGTCCTGTACAACTGGTATGCTATCCAATGATACAGTAGTCCCCACCTCCGTTTCCTACTCTATCCGAAACAAATAGGTGCTAATGTCTCAGTTAAAATGTGGCATAATAATGGTATAAACATCCGGACTAGGTATGGTAACCACAATAGACCCATCCAAAAACAAATAACTTGAGCATGGTAGTGATAACCAATCCATCCCAAGTATCCCGTCATAAGTGTGCATGTCCAGGACAAAAGATTGGCTAGAAATTCGAGTCTACCAATATTTAGTGTCACAGTGTAATACCCCGGCACATCACTCTCATGAAAATTGGCAATATTGCCCAACAATATAGAAATATCCTGAGGTCTACTGCATACGTGTGTCACCAACCAATCCGTGAGAATCCCATGTTTCGAAATACTCCGTAGTGCAAAACACATAAGGTAAAACGAAATGCTCCGCAATCGTCCCATTTTTTAGATTATGGTTCTATCCTGGGAATGCCTCCTTCTAAACCAAACATATCATATTGATTTACACAAGTTCTCTTATAAATTTCTTGGTAATCAACCTGTCTCCATACCATGTATTTACAAGCAACTATTTGTTTGCCTGTTCCACAAACCCCAATCACTCCACTGGGATAATCATCTATTAATACAACATAATCATCCCAACATAATTTAATAAAAACCATATATACCACAAAAATACTATCACACAACACAATTCAAAAATAGCTAAAATCGCTAGTTTACTTTATTAAGAACTTTTTCAAACCATAAACTGTCAAACGAATAATCGAAAATATTCTTTAACATAATCCTAGTGTATGTGATTAAATCCGTACTACATTCTTCTTAAAATCTCCTCTACTACTAATAACCAAAAAATCATTCTTAAAAGAGCCATCCTCCTTGTGGTTTGATAACCCTCTACTGGTACGGTCCGATACCTCTTCGTCTAGGACACTGCCTAGCAGTGTGACCGTACTCTCCACAAGTATAGCAAGTACCCCTAAAAGTACCAAATGGCCTCCTCTGCTGGTTAGACCGTAATTGATCCCGTTCTGCCCGTGGTACCCCATTCTGCTATCTCTGGGCTAACTCAGGACATTGGTTGGATGTATGCCCATCTTCTCCTTAGCCAGAACAATGAACTTTAACCACATTCTGCACCACTGGTACTGCTTCAAGTGTTTGTTGCACATGTAGCTGACTCTGAAGTGCCGCTATTACGCCTGCAGCTACAGCATGAGCAATGATGTAAACTAACTGAGGAGAATCCTCTAGATCCCAGCCCTGATTGTAGGCCTGATGCTGAGACTCCTGAGTATGTTGAACTTCCTCATGCTCTATCTGCAACTGGCCATCTTCCTCCTGAAACCTAGGCACTTGCTGCTCTTCCCCCACTTGCCGACGCCGCAGGCGTTCTTGCTGCCTACGTGCCAGTCTCCTCAGTCGACTGTTCATGTTCTATCCTCTTCTAGCGTTAACCATACTGTTAACATAGAAAGACAGACATCAGTACGATTGTAAACGGACCGTAAAGGAATTCAACGAATCCTAATCTTAAAACTCTAACCAAGAGAAAACGCTACGCGGAAGACTTAATACGAAACGCCCTATAGACACTTGAACCTGGAGTGCTCTGATACCAACTATGATACCCCTCGTTTCTAGAGCAACGGGTGATCAAATCCGAGCACAGATCCGAGGGATACCAAACAATTAATATTTAACCGAACACAAAATACAAAATGAATTTAATAAATAAAAGATTAAAAGCTGAAAAGAATACTAAACATAATCCTTGAAATTAAAATACTTGAGATCCAATTATCCAAAACCTTCTTAAAAATAATTCTTCAATAATTTTACAACTCGGGAATCCATCTCTAGTGGACCCCTAATCCCAATCCCAAACTGAATGTAATAAAATAACTGAAGATAAAAACCCAAATCTAACATAAGGAATAAAGTCTTACATCGTCGGTAGAATGGAAGATCGTCTCTACTCAGCCCGAACAAGCCCTAGACTGGAAATGTCTGATACCTTGAAAAAATGATAAGTGGGTCAGGCCCACTAGCAAGTTCTATACTACTACAATCCAAGCAGAGACTCGATACACATGTACATCCTAACCAATCCAACAATAACTAAATAGTCCGTAGATATATATATATATATATATATATATATATATATATATATATTCACACTGCAGGACTCTCACTGGACTACAGGCCCGTCTCAACCTGACTAGTAGGAACCATGGAAAATGCACCTGAGGTGGGCATGACTACCTAGACCTAGCAGGGTACACATCTAACCATCATAGACAGCTATGCATCCCAATGCATATACACTCCTTAGCCAATGACTCTGAAACTCAGGCTCATATCGTGACACCATAAAAATATATTTAAATTCCGTTCCAAACCAAAGTGTCACTTAACTATTTAGTGATCTGACACAAAATACAGGTAGGACTTAACTTTTGTAGTTAATCCATCCCTTAATCCAGAGTAGGTAGGATTTAGCGTTCTGTTTGAGCTAATCCCCCTAGTATGTCACCGTCCCATACCGATCCATACAAACCATCCATCCAGTATTGATAATATAAATGACAGTATACATTTCAATATCAACATCTCCAGTATAAGCATAACAACATCTATCCAATTATTGATAATACATATATGACAGTATAACATATCAATATTAACATGTCCAATCATAAGCATAACAAGAATGTTTAACTAGCATGCTTGTTCAATACATTCAGTACTTGATTCTCTAACAAATTTAAAATGCAGAGAATAAATATAACCATTATGTATCTCACAATAAGCATATTATTAACATTAACAAAATTAACATGCTTACATATAACCACTCCACAACATCCCATAAGTTGATATATATAGTTCTTTAAATAAAATATCAACTATCTTCTTATTATGCATTAACTGAATTCATATTAGTTAACATGCTTAATCTCATACCACTGATACATGATTTCAATATCAAACTCCTAATTCAATTGCTAATTTAAAATTAAACAACTTGAACCATCCACCACAAAGTTAAACCTGAAAACTTCTCTAAGGAGTAGACTGTGACCCTATTTAGCTTCCTATGGTATCTTATGAATTACCATGGCTTCTGCCCATTTAACAAGGGTTTATACCTTACTGAATAACTTTAAAAACACTCTGTTTTCAGCCTAGAATGTAAAGAATTCAATCCCCGTAGCCTTGGTTTCGCAGAAAATCAAAACTAGAAGCAAAATCGAAGGAACCTGCTCCACACAAAGTGGAGCCGCCTCCACCACTTAGTAGAGCCGGCTCCACACAAAGTGGAGCTGCCTTTAGAGCCCAAAGAGCCGGCTCTACCTAAGGTAGAGCCGGCTCTACCCTTTTGTTCAGCCTGCTCTACTCAAATTAGAGCAGGCTCTTCCCCTGTGCGTCTTCTTCTGTAATTCCGGTGGTGTCCGGCAACTGTGTTCCTCCAACCAAGTTTATTACTGATTAAAACTAAGTCCTAAGGAGTTTCAAATTTGATTAAATTCATTACTTATTATTTGAAACCATATGGAACCAGAATTACGTAAAACAGTTTCTAAGTGGATTAAAACCCATACAAGAACACATTCTGTTCAAGTATCTAACCCTGCGCTCCAGATTAATTTTAAGATTTCCTAATATGTTTTAGAACTAATAAAATTCTTAATCCATCAATTGACATCCTTTGAATCATGAATTACGTAAAACAAAACTGTAAAACAAACAAAACTATAAAACGAACAATTTAACAGTTCATGAACATATGTTTATTAAACAATGCAAACATGCGAACCAGATTGATTTTAAACCTTTATCTGTTCCTAGAATTGAGTTAGAGATGCAAAGAACACAAGTCAAAGGGATAGAGTTAGTTATAAAACTTGCCTGCGAGATTTTGAATTAAAATTTCTACGTCTTTCTCCTAAGCTCTTCCGGTGATCCTTCGGTTTTGTCCCAAACCTCTCTATACGTTTCTTGTTTTCAGTATGCTGTGAATAGGGTTTTTGATCTCTAAACCCTAAGTAGTCATCTAATGCTATATTTATAGGCTTAAGTAAAACCTAAACCCTAATTCTAATCGGAAGAAAATTATACAACCGACAATATAATTAATCCTATACTAAGTCGGCTATATCGTGAAAGAAAATTAAAACCAAATCCTAAATTTCAATTAACCATTCACCTTATCCACACAATTATACCCCGGAAAGAATATACATCCAATTAACGTAATGACAGAAAATAAAACACAATCTAATAATTATTTAATTAACAATAAAAAAACTAATCAAATAACAATTAACTAAAATAATTAATTAATTAAATAAATCAATTAAAACAAAACAATTAAATAAACAAGTCATTAAATAATTCACAACAATTCACAATTAAATAAATTAAAACGCAATTAAACAATTAACTAAATACCAGGACTATCCTTTTAAAATTAGGGGTATTACAAATGTCCACTTTGTTATGATGTTGGCACTGCTGCCAAGATCAATCAGTACATATCTGACCAAGCAATTGGCTGCTAGTAGACTGATCATTAGCAAGTCTTCATGTGGATGTTGTATCTTCTTGAGATCCCCCTCATGGAAAGAAATCTGCGTAGAACCTAGTTTACACTTGACTACGTTGATTTCGCCAACCCTTCGTAGCTTATGGGCTTGCTTAAGTTGAATCCTATAAGAATTTTCTGGTTGTTCGTCCTCTTCCGGATGGCCATGGATCGTATTAATTACCCGAACGGGATGGTTATCTCCTGCGGCTTTCGAAGTTAGCTTGGCTCGCTCGGGTTGCCTTTGTTGGCCTTTGTTAACCAAGTAGTCCGCCAATTCACCTTTGGTTATCAATGCCTCGACCTGTCTTCTCAGACTCCTGCAATCATTGGTTAGGTGGCCGAAATCGCTATGGAATGCACAGTGCTTACTTTGGTGTCTCTGTTCCATTGGTTGTCTGATCGGCGGAGGGATCTGAAAAATGTTCCTGCCCTTAGTCTCCTGATACAATCTTGCCCGTGTTACCTTGAGAGGTGTGATCTTCTCAGTTGTTCGAGAATTTTTCTCAAGGGCTCTTCCTTCGATGCTCAGGGGTTCCCGTTGGGCCCTTGAGGTGCTCGGGCGTTCCTTCGGTCGGCTTTCAACTGTGACCATAGTTGCCATTTGCTGTTTGGTTACTTCATTTTCTTCGAGTCTGATGTAGTTTTGCGCTTTTGAATTCAACTTTGACATGTTAGCCGGAGTCTTTTTCACCAGAGAAGAATGAAAACGTGAACCTTGCACCATGGCTATCTTGAATGCCTATATGGCATGGTCCTGGTTATAATCCAGAATACCTGAAGATTCCATGTTAAACCGAGTGAGAAAGGTTTGCAAACCTTCTCCCTTCATTTGTCAAATCGTGAAGAGACTATCAATAGTCTTTTTCTGTTTCTTGTTCCGGCAATACTGGGCTAGAAACGCGATGCATAGTGTCTCGAAGTTCGAGATTGACTTGCACGGGCGATTTTTGAACCATTCCAGGGCTACTTCTGTTAGGTTGAACGGGAATATTTTACACGTGAACAGATCATTGTGTGCCTCTAGAGTTATCTCTTGAGTGTAATGATTGAGGTGTTGGAGTGGGTTTCCAGTTCCATTGAACTTGATGAACTTCGACATTGTGAACTTCTTAGGTCGTGTAACTCATTCTATCTCATCCGTAAAGGGAGTTTTCTCTATTGATGCAGTGAACTCTCTCGGCATGTTCACGGGAGTTTAAGCCTTCAGCCCTTTGATTCGCTCAACTATTTCCTTTTCGGAATCTAGCGATAAAATCATTCCCTGGCGATTGTTGATCACCAATTGGGATCCATGCCTCTTTTCTTCTTGAATTAGCATCATCTAAGGCTGGGACCTTGGTGGTTCGAGGCCCTCCTATCGTGGAGTTTCCCGGGATACAGGATTGACTTGTTGTTTCCTCGGCATCTTCCCGATCCAATGCTTCGTCGTGCTGCTACCATGGAACCCTATGCTGGAGAGAAGGGTTATTGAGTCCACGTGTCAAAGGAGGATCTTCATTCTGACGTTCCAACTGACAAGCAACAAGTTAATTTTACATCTTTTAGTTTATTTTTCTTGATTTTGTACTTCTTTAAAAAAATATTTGTTTATAGTTTTATTTCAGCATGAGAGCGAGATAGCATTGAAATTTTCTTGAAACATTCTAAAAGACTTTGAAAATATATATTTTTTTCTTCCTCCCTCTTTTCCCTTCCCTCCAATTAAACACGAAAAAACTTTTTTATCATCCCTCTCATTAATCCCTCCTCAATCCTTCTCTCCAACCAAAAATAACATAAATTCATTCATTAAACAAAATAAGTACAAAACAAGAACTAAAATTTTATAGGAACCGATAAAAGTCACGATTGATATGTACATTCTTTTTTTTTAGTTAAACAGTAAGCTTGAATAAATGAAGAAAGAATGTACATCGGGTACCAAAGGACAAGACAAAGCCTAAAGGCAACAAACAACATAAGAGCTGAGAAGAACAAAAAATAATAGCCATCACACAGACCAAACCAAAAAGAGCAAAAACTAAATATAATGATCAGCTAAGAAGTGATTGAGCAGTTACAAACCTGCATCCTTGCATGAACAGATGTTATAGATCTTCCCAGCTAAATAACAACAAAAAAGGTTAGTAGAGTATCTTAGTTTAATTGAGGCTAGTCTTCATCTAGTGCAGTTTTTGATCTGCTTGATGATAATATGATAAGGTGATGACCTGTTTTTAAAAGCTCTTGAATTCCTTTCTAACCAGATAAAATGAACAGCAGCTGAGAGGAGCATTTTGTGCAGTAAGAATCTTTTAGAACATTAATTTGAGGTACACCAAGAAATTAGATCCTACCAGCAATTAAGTTTGATGTAAAATCCTGCAGTAGGTTGAACGAAGTTCCAAATTTTCTCTGAGAACTTGCACTTGAAGAAGAGGTGATAAAGAGACTCCCCACTAGCCAAGCAAAGGTAGTAAGCATTGATGTAATGCTTCTTAAGCATTGGTTTAGAATTCAAAGTATATTACCTTCTTCTTATAGCAAGCCAAGCAATGAAACAATATTTGGGGACATGATGCTTAAACCAAATAATCTAGCACTATGGGAAAATAAAATATACCAGCAGGTAGTAACTGATGGTATATGAGAGGGAGAAGGTTTTAGTTGGTGATGGTAGCCATAGTGCATCTTCTGGTAGAGTGGATGGGAGAGTCAAGTTATGTAACTGGGAGAGGAAATCATGGGATTGGAAAAATGGGATATGAGCCAAGGAATATGGGATAACCCATTGGCAATTGGAAATTAGACTATAAACTTTGATAAATCTATCCAGTTGAGAAGTTTTCACTTCAGTGAGGTTGAGATGTGAAGTAATAGGGCCATTGGGTAATCAGTAGTCTAACCACAACATAATATCAGTGTCATTACCCACACTATACATTAGAATCCCTTTTGTCATATCCCTCAACTTTAAAAGCCTTCTCCAGAAACCAGAATTTAGTGCAGATGCCTTTATAGTCCAAAAACTCTTTGTCTTAATTAAGTACTTGTAGGACCAAGCAACCCACATAATTTCTATCCTTCTATCAAATAACCTACAAATGTACTTTAAATTTGTAATTACATTTGATATTTCCAGATTTGGAAAGCCAATACCACCAAAGGGTTTTGGTTTACATACCACATCACAGGCCACCGTGGCCCTTGAATTCTGTAACTCCACACTAGACTACAAAAAACACCTCAGAACTTGGTTCACTTGATTAATCACCTTATTAGGAAAGATAAATGTCCAAGCCTAATAAGATTGAATAGAGCATATAATGAACTTAATTAGCACCGATCTACTTGCAAAAGATAAAAATCTAGAAGTCCATATCTTAACTCTAGAGGTGATGCTTTCAACCAAATATTGACAACTAGTAGCATTAATTGCTTTTTAGGACAATGGTAAATCCAAGTATGTCATAGGCAAAGTCCCAGTTTCAAATTTGAGAAGAGCTAAAATGTCAGCCTTAGTTTGGCTATCCACCCAGCAAAGAAGGCAAAACTCTTGGAAGAGTTGATGTTTAATCTTGAGAGAGTGAAAAACCTATTATGGGCTTCAAAGTGTTATGACCTAAATCTGTAGGATTCGAGTGATGAATCTGGAAGGGATATAAATCGGGCTCTTACCCGAGCCCCAAAACCAACTACAAGTAAAATGGTCATTCCAAGATAAGTGAGAAGAATGATTTGACTCTAAATGAGTCAGATGGGATCCTTTAGGTCTTCATAGGCATTCAAATCCATTCTATAGGGTTCTAGATGCAAGAATATTGTTTTCCCACAAATAAACCTATTCAGTTTAGGAGATTTTCGGAATAATCCTTACTAAAATGATCATAACTTCTTCTATGGTCTGAATATTGGAATGGGTTGGTACCATTGGAAAGTTGAATCAAAATTTTTGAAATTGAACTCAAATTTGGTCCAATTTGGAGTTAAAATGAAAAGGTTATGACATTTTAAAGTAGGAAAAATTATGCTAGTGACTAGAAATTTCAATCTTATAAAATTGGAGTTTCAGTCTGCCGAAACTTGAGTTTCAGTCGGCTACAATTCTAATTGTATTCAGTTGAAACTCCAAGGCAGTGGAATTTCAAGATTTAGCTCTCGATTTCTCACCATTTGTGTTACGACCCACACCAAGGGGTTTGGATCGCTAACCGGGTATCAATCTGACCCATAAACTTCCAAGAGTAAAATGGTCAATATGACCCGTACAAGGCATTAGGAGCTTACATGAAGTCCTGAGGGCTAATTCTAACAATTTTGAATTGCTTTTGAATGAAAATTTTAATCCCAGTTATTATTCTGGTCATTTAGGGTTAAAAGGGTAAATCGGTCGTTTTGGATTCTGGTCATTTAGGACATATGTGGTCACTTTTAGGATCATTTAGAAATGAAAGAAAACAACTTGATTCAAGGACGCCCAATTTAGGGCTAAAAAGGGCAAAAGATGCATTGTATGTAAACGTGACCATTCCGGATCGCGTTGATTTTCGCTTCAACATTTTCAATAAAGGAGTAAACAATATAAATTATTGTAGTTGATTATTAAGTTTATTTTCATTAAAAAAAAAAAATTCAATTAAATTTATATTTTTGTGATATAATTTTCTATTTATTTTGGAGGGCGAAATATCGTGAGATTTATATTTCATATGGTAGGAAATAATTTTTATTATTTGGTAGAAGAGAAAATGACCTCCCCTTTGTACAAAAAATAAGTTTAAAGGGTCTAAAATGCCCATAATAATGTAAAAAGATGCTATTGCCCTTATAATGTAAAGGGTAAAGGGCAATAAACCCCCCTCAAACTATGCTCTCTTTAGCAAGAAACCCCCTTAAACTTTTATTTTTACAATTAACCCCTAAACTATCCCTTTTTTTGCAAATATCCCAATTCCGTTCAAATTTCGGTGAATTATCAACGTTAAAGTGGTGTGTGACATCACATAAGCTAAGCATAAATTTTAAATGGCAAGAATAACCTTATTACCCATTTAAATCGGGTTGTCTTTTGACCCGATTTAAAACCCATTCCAACTCCCAAATCTAGTCAACTTCGTCAAAGAAACTCCTTCTCTCTACCAGACTCTCTCTCTCTCTCTCTCGTTCTCAAGCAGATCGTACCTGCAGATCTGATGACGGCAAAGATCAGCCGAGGAATATAACAGCAATAGATTCTGACGGTGACAGCAAGAATCAACACGGTGGCGACAAGGTTGAAAGTCTGAACTAACGACGATAAAGCCTGATAATCGGCGATCGTGATGGCGATGGTGTTTCGACTGCGAGGCCCACCAACGTGCCTGTTGCAGCGGCAGTGGTTTCAGTGAAAGTTCTCTTATATGGGTTTGGCGATGATGGGTTGAGAATTTTACGGTCGCGATTGGGTTTGCCTGGTGATCACTCTTGGGGTTTTTCGATTGGTTTGCTTGTTGATCGACGACAACATATTTTTTAGATTTTGCGATTAGGATTACTTGATGATTGACAACATATTCTTGGGTTTTGTGATTGGGTTGGCAACTTTTGTAAATGGATATTGCGGCTAGAGTTTGGGATTTTGTGATTGGGTTGCCGATGATTGCGATTCATAGCCAGAGATTGTATCGAAGGAAAGATAACACTGTGATGTTTGGGATATTTTTAGTTGCTGGCTTTCGTGTAAATTTGCCCTGTTACTTTTTTTTTTTTTAGGCTTTTCTTGTTGTGCATTTGGTTGCTTATGACTATTTGATTTTGGCAAATTTAAGGTTTCAATGGTCACTGGTCAGAGCAACATATTTAGGGTTTCAATGATCAAAGAGATGGGGATTGTCTGGCGCGAATTTTAGCAAAAAGCACACATAACAGTAATATGTGATAAAACTTGATGTGCTGTCAATGTTGGCAAGAGGGATTACATCAGCAGATGAAGGTTAAAAAACAACAAAATGACATACCAGTTTATTATAAGGGCAAAATGGTCAATTCATTTTTCTGGCAACTGCTGTTAGACTACTGTCCTTAAATTGCACATTTTTAGTAATTGAGGAGGGGCAATTGTTAATATAGGGGGTTTTGTGAAATGCTCTAATAATTCAGCGGGTTTGTTGCCTTTTACCCTAATATAAACAAATAACAATAAAATTGGACCAAACTACTCTCAAACCACTGACTCTCCATTCTCTCTCTCTCTCTCTCTAGCACTTCACCACTCCTCTGCCACCATCCCATCTGCGATCAAATTCATGTTCTTTTTCTATTCCGAAGTGTCACACCTCTCTTGTCTCTCACTATTTCCAAGCATCAGGTTGACGCGCACCCAGACGCAGCCGCTAGTAGATGGTATTGTCGGTCAACAATTGCCAAACCCTAGAATGCATTTTTAAGCCGCAGACACACACCTAAGTTGTTCCGTCTATATATATATAGCGAACCAAATGATACTCGTAATCTCTATCGTGGGGGAAGTGATGAGCAACTTCATACAGGTATGTCATAATTCATATATATATGTTTATATATGTATGTATGTATTTGTGTATATTTTGCCTCTCCTTTCAGCTGCAAAGGCATAGATCTGATGATCTGTTTCTTGATGGCTTTGTTCTAGAGGCATATATATCTATATATATATATATGTATGTATGTATGTATTTGTGTATATTTTGCCTCTCCTTTCAGCTGCAAAGGATAGATCTGATGATCTGTTTCTTGATGGCTTTGTTCTAGAGGCATATATTTTATCTCCAATGTTTGAGGGGTTTAGTTTAAACCAAGGGCGGATCCAGGATTTCTCAATGGAAACTGAAAGATATGGGTTTTGATTTTTTGAACAATCTGAAATGATATGCCCATATGGGTTTTGAACTTTTGATTCTTGCAGACAGATAGATAAACTGAAAGATATGGGTTTTGAACTTCTGATTCTTGTAGATTTTGTAGTTTGCAGTTGCAGAGAGAGAGAGAGGGCAAGTTCATAATATATTCATTCAGCTTTTGATAGCCATCACACACAGTGACACACACAAAAAAACCCTAGTTTGGAAGCTACTTTTCACTATTGGAACAAAGGTAAAGGCCCGAATCAAACGAACCAAAGTTAGAACAATTCAAATGATGAGATGAACGAAAGAAAGAAACATATATAAAAGATCCATTCATGCAAAGGGAGAGAGAAGTGAGAGAGAGGATGAACATACCTTGTCACATGAGGTAATAGCGGAGGCTGCGCCCTGCGGAGTGTCGAAGATGATTGTGTCGTCTGAAACTTGCCCTAACTTAAATTTTTTTATTTCCATCCCCTATGGGCCTCAAAATTTGCCCAAGGCGGCGGTGGCACTCCAATTTGTTGGCCTTCAGCAGTTTAGCTTGTTCAAGAGTCAAGACTCAAGTTCAAACAAAAAAATTTTTATTTCCTCCCCTACATCCGCCCTTGGTTTAAACCAAAGTTGTTCTTGCTACTCTGGTCTCCCCTTATTTGGTACATTTCCATTGGAAAATTAATTTATTTTGGTTTTCTGTAGTAGCTTTGTGTTCCGTTTGGTTGCCTAGATATTGATATTGCATGAAATTAATATTTATACTAATTTTATATCTAAACAGAGTTGGTTTGGCTTGTTTTAGATCGTCTTCTTGGCAACCATACGAATTCTACGAAGCATAAGATTAATATTGATCTTTTGTCTTAATGTCTTCCCTAAGACAATTATGTTTTTCATAAGTTGATATATTTGTAGCATTAGTTTGATTGCATTGGATCTAGTAATTTTGATTAATGGTGGTCTTGGGACAGGCAAAAGAGACGCTTGCTGCAACATGTAATTTTGATTATGTTTTTATTATTCAAGGTTGTGACATTTAGGCAAAGCATGTAGTAAAGATTACATTGTTACTTTTTTGTTTATACAGAAATGGTAGGCGCAGTTGTTTGGCAACAATGGTAGCAACTTGTTGCACAAGTGAATGGAAGCTTTACACTATTTGAGTAGTTTATTGTAAACAAAAAATTAAACTGAGATGCCCTTTCATGCTGTGTTCTTGGGTGGTTTGGGACTATGTGATCTTTGCCAATCACAAAATACACCAAATGTGTCGGCTTTTGTGATTGGCCGAGACCACATGATTACGTACTACCTAATACTTTCTAGATCCTCAATATCTTTATATACCTAATACTTTCTTGATCCTCAATATCTTTATATATGAAACTTTTTCAAGATCTACACATGGCATTTAATGTGATAAATTAACTGAAATTCTAGTAAAGAAAATGATTCTTAGTGTTATGCCAATTTGTCTAACTTAAGGATTCTTATCCCTTCGATGTAGTGGATAAGACCCACATTTGAGTTTATCCACCATATCAATGGGATAAAAACCCCTCAGGCTTGACAGTTCAGCCTAACAAATAGACCCCTCAGGCTTGACAGTTCAGCCTAACAAATAGGCTGAGTATCAGTACTCTTCTAGCAAAGCTTGTCCCACTGTCAATAATCAACTTCACTTATTTTTCATTACAGTCATACAAGAAAAGTACTAAAACATTAACAAAAATAATAATAATAAAATTAATGTTACTATTATTAATAATATCGTGGAGTGGATAGATAAGGCTATTTATTTATTCAATTTGTATATTTACATTTTAAAAAAGAAGTATACAACATAAATTATTGTGGTCTACTCATAATATCGTCTCTAGTTGTTTACTTTTCTTTATCTTTGATTATTAAGTTTATTTTTCAGTTTTAAAAAGTATTTTCATTTAAATTTCTACTTTTGTGGTCTAATTTTCTATTTATTTGGAGAGTGAAATAGTCTGAGATTTTTGTTGCATATGGTAGGAAATAAGTTTTTATTATTTGGTACAAGAGAAATTGAAAAGAAGAGTTGAAGAGAGAATAAAGGAAAATTATAAATACAGTATATTAGTTAAAATGTTTATCTCTTTACTATGATTATTTCCATCTTCCAAGCATTAGGTAGACGAATACCCGAAAGCAGTATGCGGTATTTTTGGTCAACAATTGCAAAACCCTAGACTGCATTCGGTCAACCATTGCAAAACCCTAGAATGCATTTTTAAGCTGCATTCACATAGCGAAGTTGTTCTGTCTATATATAGCGAACCAACAGGTACCCGTAAGTCTCTCTCTCTCTCGTCGGGGAAGTGATGAGCAACTTCATACCGGTATGTCATAATTCATACATATATATGTTTATATATCTATGTATGTATTTGTGTATATTTTGCCTCTCCTTTCAGCTGCAAAGGCATAGATCTGATGATCTGTTTCTTGATGGCTTTGTTCTAGAGGCATATATTTAATCTCCAAAGTTTATGGAGTTTAAACCAGAGCTGTGGTTCTTGCTACTTTGGTCTCCCCTTATTTGGTACATTTCCATTAGAAAATTAATTTATTTTGCTTTACTGTAGTAGCTTTGTGTTGCCTAGATATTGCATGAAATTAATATTTATATTAATTTTATATCTAAACAGAGTTGGGTTGTCTTTGTTTTACATCCCCATTAATTTTCTAAGTCTTCTTGGCAACTATATGAAGTATAAGATTAATATGGATCATTTGTCTTGATGTCTACCCTAAAACCATCATGTTTCTCATAAGTTGATATATTTGCAGCATTACTTTGATTGCATTGGATCTAGTAATTTTGATTAATACCTGTCTTGGGACAAGCAAAAGAGACACTTGCATCAGCATGTAATTTTGATTATGTTTTTATTATTCAAGGTTGTGACATTTAGGCAAAGCATGTAGTAAAGATTGCATTGTTACTTTTTTGTTTATAGAGAAATGCCAGGCGCAGTTGTTTGGCAACTATGGTAGCAACTTGCCGCACAAGTGAATCGAAGCTTTACGCTATTTGAGTCTTTTATTGTAAACAAAAAATTAAAATGAGATGCCCTTTCATGCTATTCCTAAAATCCTTAGTGAGAAATTATTAGGTGGTTTGGGACCATATGGTCTTTGCCAATCAGAGGATGCACCAAATGTATCAGCATCTTGTGATTGGCCAGGACCACATGATTCCGGATTACCTAATAATTTCTATATTCTCAATCTTTATATATAAACCTATTTGTTAGGCCAATTTGTCTATCTCAAGGATTATTATTCCTTTGATGTAGTGAATAGGACTCACATTTGAGTTTATTAACCAAGGATAAGAATCCCTTTAACTTGACAATAATCAACTTCACTTATTTTTCATTACAGTCATACAAGAAAAGTGCTAAAACACTAACTAAAATAATAATAAAATTAATGTTTTACATAATTGTATTATTAATAATAGGCTAAAAGCATAGAGTGGATAGAGATAATTTAAATGAGTATTAAGTCAATCCGTACACAAATATTCTAGGAATAATGACTATTTTAATGTGTTCTTTTATGCAGTTATTTGCAAACTTATTTGACTAATGCCATGCACTCCTACATTAAAAAAATATATATATCATAATACCTGAAAATCACATTAAATGCCATGAGTGTTCTAAACTATTTTATGTTTGATAATATCTTTTAGAAATAATATTTGATTAATTATTGTAAATTTAAAACCCTGTTATTGGATTTGGTTGGAAGGTAGAATTTAGAGAGAGAGTGAAGAGTTAAACACAGAATGAACGTGTGTTGAGCTATCTTTTACAATGTTAGTAATGGTGGCAGTATATTTAATTTATCAAATTGAAAGTGCATGTCAATTTTGAACTTTTGTTTTATTCATAAACTCAAAGTAAGGTGCTTGTGTTCTTAACTGGTGTTGCGAGTGTGATGCCACCGTTGTTAAGCAATTCTGGCTAGCATTTCTCTTATTTATAATGCAAAATTCTATGAACATCTTTGCCTTGTTTTTAGATTTGTGCTTTCCCTGACATTGTGGATTTTAATTCTTTTCAAACATAAGCCTATGTTAGTCTCAAAGTCACTACGTAAACTGTTTGTTACAACATAAAAAAAGGACCGGGATACATAAAATTGAAAGTCCTTGAAATTCTCTTAAGTTGATCCATTATCAATTTATTCTTAATGTTGTTACACAAGCCTCTCCTTTCGGCTGCAAGGACAGAGATCTGAGTAGGATCAATTTATTGATGGCTTGTTCTGAAGGCATATATTAGTCTCATCCAAATTCTTGCGGTTTAATTTTATCTGGAGTTTGTGACCTTCCTTTTGTTTCTTCCCTTTATTTGTTATTAATTTTTTAATAGATATATGGTTTCTCTTGTCTTTTTATTTTTATTTTTTATTATTAGATATATATTGATAATTTTTAGTAAAAACATTTCTCTGTCTACGTTCTACTCATAGTTGCCGGAAAGTTGGAGTAATATGAGATCTTGAAGCGTTTTAGTATGTCAAGGAAGTTAGCATGTCAAGTTAGCCTTAGTTTTGGATAATATGATTCTTGATGTTTGCTTTCCAGGATATAATGCTAAATGTTAGTTTGGAGAATATAAAGCTAAATGATTACGTTTAATGTTTATTACCATAATAGTGTTTTGGTAAGTTTCTACCTTGTGTGGTTGTTTGGGTTGGAAACATTTGTTTCCTTAATATATGTAATAGTTTTTGGAAAACATTGTCTTCATGAATCTATCTTACTAGCCTACTATTCTATTGAGTTGGTAATGACAATTGTGGAAATAATACGATAATAACTAGGGTAGTAACAGTCATGAACTTCACATTTTCTTTCACCTTTCTTTTCTATCCCATTCCCAATCAAAATGATCTTTGTCTATTTATGTTTTAAGAATATATGTTACATGGACTCATAGGTGTGGAGGGTGCAGGGATGGGTTTATTTATTCTGTATTTTTTTTTCCTCATTGCAACTAAAGAAACATGTTTTTTTTTTTTTTTTTTTAACTCATTTTTCTAAGCACTAGCTCGACTTAATACCCAAGCACAACTCCTAGCAGAGGGTAGAATTGTCGGTGTAGTTTATTTTAAAAGGTTGTTTTTCACTTTAGTCTAATCAAGTAAAATAATTACATACCCTCTAAATTATTATTCCAAAGTACCAAATTATCTTTAAATAAAATAGTTGACAATATCATTATTATAAATTATGTATATTAAAAAAGAAATTTGAGATATATATTTTTTATTTCATTTTAGTTGACAATATCATTTTAGCTGCCAGTAATGGCGTTCAAGATTCAAATTATAATAAATTAATGTTTTTGTGTTTGTGAATAATTGTAAAAACAAAGGAATCAACTCAAACATGGCTTTAATTCAATGATTTTGGGAATAAATACGTGGAAATGTTTGTTTTTTTAAATTGGTTTTTCAAATTTAGATATTGGCTTCTATTGAATTTAATGTGAAAATTGCGCGGCATATCTTGATTAACTATGAAGTAAAAATTTCAGCAAAAGTATGATTAATTATTTACGCATGGTTTAAATTGTTCAAAATAACTGTTACTGTAGCAATTGTGAAGTTTTATGTACAACAATAAATAAATAATAAAAATAAACAAAAAATATTTTCAAAATATGTAAGAATGATTCAAGATTTCAAGAAAATTTCAGTGCCTTCTGGTTATGTCCATTTATGTTTTCTCAGTCTCTTACTGAAATAAAAAAGGAAGAGGAAAGAACATGTAAAATTAAGATTTTTTTTCCCCTTGGTTTTCATGATTTATTCTCTTTATTCCTATTTTTCATGGTAATAACAATAGAGAGTAGTTTTCTTTATTTTCTGAAAAACCACAATGCAAAAGAAAACAATTTTTATAAATGGAAATTACTAATTATTCTTTCTTTCTTTCTCCTCTTGCCCCCAATTTTAACGGGCAGAAAATACAAAGCAAGTAGCCGATTTCAACCTTCTCAAAAATTATTAAAAAAAAACAAAAAAATTCCAGTGTCACTCATTCATCTTTAAATGAGCGAGTTTCCTATGAATGTCTCATGCATCTTTCCTCTTCTTCATTTCATCTAATATTTCATTCCTCCAGAGCCAAATGGAGAAGCAAAATTATTTTCTTTTGTTTTTTATTTAGAAAATAAAGCAAATTGCTTTCTATTGTTTGTTTGTCATGAAAAATACGTATGAAGAGAAAATATCAAGAAAAGCAAAGAGGAGAAAACTTAATTTTACATCTTTTAGTTTCTTTTACTTGATTTTGCACTTATTTAAAAAAAATCTTTATTTCTAGTTTTATTTCAGCATGAGGTTGAGATAGCATTGAAATTTTCTTGAAACATTCTTAAAGATTCTGAAAATAATTTTTGTTTTCTTACTTCCTCCCACTTTTCCCTTCCTTCCAATTAAACACGAAAAAACTCTTTTATCCTCCCTCTCATCCATCCTTCCTCAATCATTCTATCCAACCAAATTTAATATAAATACATCCATTAAACAAAATATGTACAAAACAATGACTAAAATTTTATAGGAATCGGTAAAAGTCACGATTGATATGTATTTTTCTTTTAGTTAAAGGGTAAGCTTGTATAAATGAATAAAGAATGTACATGGGGTACCAAAGGACAATACATAGTCCAGAGGCAACAAACAGAGTTGAGAAGAACAAAAATTAATAGCCATCACACAAACCAAACCAAAAAGAGCAAAAATTGAATATAGTGATCAGCAGCTGCAAAGCTGCATCCATGCATGAATAAATGTTGTAGATCCTCCTAGCTACACAGCAATGAAAGGTCAGTAGAGTATCTTAGTTTAATGGAGGCTAGTTTTCCTCTAATGCGATTTTTAATCTGCTAGATGATAAGATGAGGAGGTGAGGACCTGTTTCTGAAGGCTCTTGAATTCCTTTCTAACCAGATAAAATAGACAGCAACTAAGAGGAGCAGTTTTTGCAGCAATAATCTTTTAGAGCTCTAATTTGAAGTACACCAAGAACTAGATCCTGCCAGCAATTAGGTTTAATGTAGAATCTTGCAGTATGTCGAACGAAGTTCCAAATTTCCTCAGAGAACTTGCACTTGAAGAAGAGGTGATCTAGAGACTTCTCACTAGCCAAGCAAATGTAGTAAGCATTGATGTAATGTTTCTTAAGCGTTGGTTTAGAATTCTAAGTATATAACCTTCTTCTTATAGCAAGACAAACAATGAAACTATGCTTAGGGACATGATGCGTAAACCGAATCATCTGGTGCCATGAGAAAATAAAAGATGATGGCAGGTAGTAATTGATGGTGTGTGAGAGGGAGAAGGTTTGAGTTGGTGATGGTAGCCATAGTGCATTGTCTGGTATAGTGGATGGGAGAGGCAAGTTGTGTAACTGGGAGAGGAAATTATGGGATTGGAAAAATGTGATATGAACTAAGAAATATGGGACAACCCATTGGCACTTGGAAATTAAGCTATCAATTTTGATAAATCTATTCAATTGAAAAGTTTTCACTTCACTGAGGTTGAAATGTGAAGTAATAGGGCCATTAGGTAACCAATAGTCTAACCACAACATAATATCAATGCCATTACCCACATTATGCATTAGAATCCCTCAACTTTAAAAGCCTTATCCAGAAGCCAGAATTTAGTGTAGATGCCTTTACAGTCCAAAAACTCCATGTCTTAATCAAGTACTGTAGCACCAAACAACCCAAAAACTTGTTTTCCTTCTATCAAATAACCTGCAAATGTACTTTAAATTTGTAATTATATTTGATATTTTCAGATTTGGAAAGCAATACCACCAAAGGGTTTTGGTCTATATACCACATCCCAGGCCACCATGGCCCTTAAATTCTTTAACTCCACACCAGACTACAAAACACTCCACATAACTTGGTTCACTTGATCAATCACCTTCTTGGGAAGAACAAATGTCTGTGCCTAATAGGATTGAATAGAGTATATAATGGACTTAATTAGCACTAATCTACCTGCAAAAGATAAAAATCTAGAAGTCCATATCTTAAACCTAGAGGTGATGCTTTTCACCAAATATTGATAGCTAATAGCATTAATTACTTTATAGGACAATGGTAAATCCAAGTATGTCACAGGAAAAGTCTCAGTTTCAAAATTGAGAAGAGCTAAAATGTCAGACTTAGTTTGGCTATCCACCCCAGCAAAGAAGGCAAGACTTTTAGAAGAGTTGATGCTTAATCCTGAGAGAGTGAAGAACTTATTGAGGGCATCAAAGTGTCACGACCCAAATCTTTAGGATCCGAGTTATGAATCCAGAAGGGATACGAATCGAGCTCTTTACCCGAGCCCCAAAGCCAACTATAAGTAAAATGGTCATTCCAAGACAAGTGAAAAGAGTGATTTGACTCTAAATGAGTCAAATGGGCTCCATTCAGGTAATCATAGCCATTCAAATCCATTCCATAGGGTTCTAGATGCAAGAACATTGTTTTCCCATAAATAAGCCTATTCGGTTTAGGAGATTTCCTGAACAATCCTTACTAAAATGATCATAATTTATTCTACGGTTGGAATTTTGGAATGGGGTTGATACCATTGAAAAACTGACTCAAAATTCTTGAAATTAAACTCAAATTTGGCCCAATTTGGAGTTAAAATGAAAAAGTTTTATGACTTTCTAAATTTGGAAAAATTACACTAGTGAATAGAAATTTCAGTCTTATAAAATTGGAGTTTCAGTTCGTTGAAACTTGAGTTTCAGTTGGCCACAATTCTAATTGTATTCAGTTGAAACTCCATGGCAGTGGAATTTCAAGATTCAGCTCTTGGTTTCTCACCATTTGTGTAACGACCCATACCCGGGGGTTCGGATCGCTAACCAGGTCTTGACCCGACCTGTAAACTCCCAAGGGTAAAATGGTCAATATGACCAGTACAAGGCATTTACATGAAGTCCTAAGAGCTAATTCTAACCATTTTGAATTGCTTTAGAATGAGAAAATCAATCCCGATTACTATTCAGACCACTTAAGGGTTATAAGGTGAATCGGCCTTTTTGGACCGTGCAACTCATTGGGGAGCTTATAATTGTCTTCAAGGACATATGTGGTCACTTAGAATCGTTTAAAAATGAAAGAAAATAGCTAGATTCAAGGCCGCCAAATTTAGGGCTAAAAAGGGCAAAAATGCTTTGTAGGTAATCGTCGACATTTGGGATCGCGTTGATTTTCACTTCAACATTTTCAATAAAGGAGTAAACAACATAAATTATTGTGGTTCATTATTAAGCTTATTTTCATTTATAAAAAAAAAATCAATTAAATTTCTATTTTGGTGTTATAATTTTTTATTTATTTAGAGAGCGAAATATTGTGAAATTTATATTTCATATGGTAGGAAATAATTTTTATTATTTGGTACAAGAGAAATTCAAAAGAAGAGTTGAAAGTGAGAATAAAGGAAAAATATAAATACAGTATATTATTCAAGATGTTTGATTTTTTCTTAAAATAGTGATAAAGAACATATATTTTTTCTATTTCCGAAGTGTCACCACCTCTCTTTTACTCTCATTATTTACAAGCATCAGGTTGACGCGTACCCGACCAGCCGCTAGTAGACGGTATTTTCGGTCAACAATTGCAAAACCCTAGAATGCATTTTTAAGCTGCAGACACACACCAAAGTTAGTTCCGTCTATATGAATAGCGAACCAAATTATACTCGTAAATCTCTCTCGCGGGGGAAGTGATGAGCAACTTCATACAGGTATGTCATAATTCATATATATATATTTATGTATGTATGTATTTGTGTATATTTTGCCTCTCCTTTCAGCTGCAAAGGCATAGATCTGATGATCTGTTTATTGATGGCTTTGTTCTGGAGGCATATATTTAATCTCCAAAGTTTTAGGGGTTTAGTTTAAACCAAGGGCGGATCTAGGATTTCTCAATGATTTTTTTTTAGTTCTGAAAAGATTTCCATCTTCAAAAAGTTTTAGGCATAGATCTGATGATCTTTTTCTTGATGGCTTTGTTCTGGAGGCATATATCAATGATCTAGGCATGTTGACAAAAATTGTTTCAGATTCAATCTCTGCTGATTTCTAATCCAATATTTTTTTTTTTCATGCCCAGATTCAAATTTTCTTATAGACATAATTGACCAAAAAATATATATATATATAGAAATAAAAATATATATATTTGTTTTGCTGAAATAAAATGTAGATGACGGTGATTACCTCAAAATGCAATGCAAATTTTGTTCCTTTATATTGTAATATATATATATATAAAAGATCATAAAAAATTTCACCAAATAGGATTTAGTTTGCAAAACAAGAATTACAGACCTTGATTAGTTGATTTAGAAAAAATTTTGAAACAAAACCCATACATACAGAACTGGAACAGCGGGCGATGGAATTTTGAACTTTTGATTCTTGCAGACAGATGGATAAACTGAAATATATGGGTTTTGAACTTCTGATTCTTGTAGATTTTTTAGTTTGCAAGTTCAGAGTTGAGAACGAGAATAGAGATGGAGGCGATTGGGGAGGCTGAAATGATTTGCCCTAAAATAATTTTTTTTTCTCTGGTGGCCCATCATACATGGGCCTATAAATTTGGAGGCCCCATGAATTCGCAAGCTTCAGCCACTGGCCCGTGTCTCTCAACTCTCAAGCTTGCTCCCCTCTCTCTCTATCTGCAACTGCTAACTTGTATGTATGGGTTTTGTTTTAATAATGGGGTGACTGAGTTGACTTGGGCTCGATTGGGTGGGCTAATACTATTAATAAATTTTTTGTTTTTGGGCTGGGCTACAATAAGTATAGTAAATATTTTTTTTTAAGGTCCGCCCTTGGTTTAAACTAGGAGTTGTGGTTTTTGCTACTCTGTTCTCCCCTTATTTGGTACATTTCCATTAGAAAATTAATTTATCTTGCTTTTCTATAGTAGCTTTGTGCTCCGATATTGACATTGCATGAAATTAATATTTATACTAATTTTATATCTAAACAGAGTTGGTTTGCTTGTTTTAGATTGTCTTCTTGGCAACCATACAAATTATCTTTTGTCTTGATGTCTTCCCTAAAACATTTTTGTTTTTCATAAGTTGATATATTTGCAGCATTAGTTTTGATTGCGTTGGATCTAGTAATTTTGATTAATGGAGGTCTTGGGAGTTGGGACAGGCAAAAGAGACACTTGCTGCGGCATGTAATTTTGATTATGTTTTTATTATTCAAGGTTGTGACATTTAGGCAAAGCATGTATTAAAGATAATTTTGATTATGTTTTTATTATTCATGGTTGTGACATTTAGGCAAAGCATGTAGTAAAGATTGCATTGTTACTTTTTTGTTTATAGAGAAATGGTAGGCGCTGTTGTTTGGCAACTGTGGTAGCAACTTGTTGCACAAGTGAATGGAAGCTTTACACTATTTGAGTAGTTTATTGTAAACAAAAAATTAAACTGAGATTCCCTTTCATGTTGTTCTTAGGTGGTTTGGGACCATGTGATCTTTGTCAATCACAAAATACACCAAATGTGTCTGTATTATGTGATTGGCCGGGACCATATGATTAAGGACTACCTAATACTTTATAGATCCTCAATATCTTTATATGTGAAACTTTTTCAAGATCTACACATGGCATTTAATGTGATAAATTAACTGAAATTCTAGCAAGGAAAGTGATTCTTAGTGTTATGCCAATTTGTCTAACTTAAGGATTCTTATCCCTTTGATGTAGTAGATAAGATCCACATTTGAGTTTATCCACCATATCAAAGGGATAAAAACTCCAGGCTTGACAGTTGAGCCTAACAAATAGGCGTGAGTATCATAGTGTTCTAGCAAAGCTTGTCCCATTATCAATAATCAACTTCACTTATTTTTCATTACAGTCATACAAGAAAAGTACTAAAACACTAACAAAAATAATAATAAAATTAATGTTACCATTATTAACAGTAGCGTAGAGTGGATAGATAATAAAGCAAATGAGTAATTAAATCCAACAGTGCACAAATATTCTAGGAATAATGACTTTTTTTAATTTGTATTGTTTTTGAAGTCAGACACTTTAGGCAATTATTTGCAAACTTCTTTGACTCTATTCTACTAATAGGTAGTACACCCACATTAAAATAAATGATCATAATTCCTTAAAATAACATTAAATGCCATGCACTCCTACATTAAAAGAAATTATCATAATTTCTGAAAGTGTGTTGAGCTATCCTTTACAACATCTATAATGGTGGAAGTATAGTAAATTTGTCAAATTGAAAGGGCATGTCAATTTTTTACTTTTGTTTTATTCATAAACTCAAAGTAAGGTGCTTGTGTTCTTAACTGGTGCTGCCAGTGTTGGCTAGCATTTCTCTTATTTAAATAATACAAAATTCTATGAACATCTTTCCCTTATTTTTAGATTTGTGCATTCCTTGATATTGTGGATTTTAATTCTTTTTAAACATATAATCAAAGTCACTACTTAAATTGCTTTTTTCGACATTAAAAAAGGATCAAGATACATAAAGTTGAAAATCCTCGAAATTACCTTAAGCTGAATCGTTGTGTTTATCCATTATCCATTTATTCTTAATGTTGTTGTGACACAATGCCTCTCCTTTCGGCTGCAAGGACAGAGATCTGAGTAGGATCAATTTATTGATAGCTTTGTTCTGAAGGCATATATTTGTCTCATGCAAAGTCTTGGGGGTTTGATCTTATCTGGAGTATGTGACCTTCCTTTTGTGGCTCCTCTTTCTTTGTCAAGTTTTTTAATAGATACATGTTTCTCTTCTTCTTTTATTTATTTATTTATTTTTATTAGAGAAATGTTGATAATTTTTAGTTAAAACATTTCTATATGTCTAGATTCTACTCATAGTTACTGAAAAGTTGAGGAATATGAGATCTTGAAGCTTTAGTATGTCAAGTAAGTTAGTATGCAAAGTTGTCCTTAGTTTTGGATAATATGATTTGATGTTGGTTTTGGAGGATATAATACTGAATATTAGTTTGGAGAATATAATGCTAAATGATCATGTTTAATGAATTGCTTACTGAAAAAATTGCTTATTACCATACTAGTGTTTTGGTAAGTTTCTGTTTTGTGTACTGATTCATAGTTTAGAATCAGTTGCTTTGTTTGGAAACATTTGTTTCTATAATAGTTGTAATAATTTTTGGAAAATATGGTCTTCGTGAATCTATCTTACTAGCCTACTATACTCTGAGTTGGTAATGACAATTGTGGAAATAATGGGATAACTAGGGTAGTAACAGTCAGGAACTGCACATTTCATATCACTTTTCTATCGGATTCCCAATCAATATGATCTGTCTATGAATTTATGTTACATGGACTCAGATAAGTGTGGAGGGTATAGGGATGGGTTTTATTTATTCTTTATTATTATTATTATTTCCTAATTCTAAGTAATAGAAAGTATCGCATTTTATACGCATTTTTCTAAGCATTAGCTTGACTTATACCCAACCACGGCAAATTGTATTGTTGTTTAACAATAGCAAAAACCCCAAAATGCATTTTCAAGCGGCATACGTAGCTCAATTGTTCATGTTGTATATAGCCAATCAAAATAATAATAATATTGATAATGTCTATTTTGAGATGATTTTGTGGTTCATATATATATATATATATATATGGTGTGTATTTGTGTATTTTTGCCTAACCTTTCAGCTGCAATGGCATAGATTTGTTGATCTGTTCCTTGATGGCTCTGTTCTGGAGGCATATGTTCAATACCCCAAAGATTTAGGGGCTTATTATTAACTAGAGTTACTGTTCTTGCTACTCTGGTTTCCTCTTCTTTTGTAAATTTCTATTGTAAGATTAATTTTCTTTTCTATAGTAGCTATGTGCTCCATTTGGTTGCCTAGAAATTGCAAGAAATTAAAGTTTATGCTAATGTTAAATCTATTCAGAATTGGTGTGGCTCTATTTTAGATTCCTTTCAGTATACAAGCTTTCCAAGTCTTCTAGGCAACCATAAGGGTCGGATGGATCATTTGTTGCAAGTTTGTGGCTTGATGTCAACGTATATCCATCATGTTTCTCATAAGTTGATCCATATACAGCATTAGTTTGATTGTATTGGATCTAGTGAATTCATCAATGGTGTATTGGATTTAGTAATTCATCAATGGTGGTCTTGGCAAAGGACCTTTGCTGTATCAAGAGAGGAATTTTGTCACTAGGGTTATATTTTATTACTAAGTATGATTGTAATTTACGCTATCGATAAAGAGAACCCTATTTGTGTCAGCATCATTTTGAACTATCGATAAAGATGCCAAATGTGCCAGCGTCATAGGTTGAAAGGCAGTGTTAATGATATGTCTTGCAAACTTTTTAAACTTGATTCTACTAATAGGTTGAAAGGCTGTGACGGAATAAATAAATCATAAAAATACAAAAAATATTTTATTCAAATAAGTCATAAAAATACCAAAAAAAAAAAGTTCATTAGAATGTTTCAAGACTTCATGAAAATTTAAGTACATACTTGATTGAAAAATGAAATGAAAGAACATATAAAAATAAGATTATATATTTATTTTTTTGCCTTTGGTTTTCATGATTTATTCTCTTCATATCTATTTTTCATGATTAAAGAAAAGAATAGTTTCTTAAAAAAAATAATAATAATAATAAAACACAAAACAAAAGAAAACATTTTTTAGAAATGGAAATTACTAATTATTTCTTCTCTCTCCCTTCTTTATGAAAAAAAAAAAAAAAACGTAACCTATTTGAATTACTTTTGAATGAGAAAGTCAATAAAATTATTTATTTATTTATTTGCCTTTGGATTTCATGATTTATTCTCTTCATATCTATTTTTCATGATTAAAGAAAAAAATAGTTTCTTCAAAAAAAAAAATAATAATAATAAAATACAAAACAAAAGAAAACATTTTTTAGAAATGGAAATTACTAATTATTTCTTCTCTCTCCCCTCTTTAAAAAAAAAAAAAACAATTGTAACCTATTTGAATAACTTTTGAATGGGAAAATCAATAAAATTATTTATTTATTTTTTTGCCTTTGGTTTTCAAGATTTATTCTCTTCATATCTATTTTTCACGAGTAAAGATGTTTCTTCAAAAAAAAATAATAATAATAAAACACAAAACAAAAGAAAACATTTTTTAGAAATGGAAATTACTAATTATTTCTTCTCCCTCTCCCCTCTTCAAAAAAAAAACGAACAAGTGTAACCTATTTGAATTACTTTTGAACGAGGAAATCAATCCTGATCACTACTGTCTTTCTCGTGCAACTCGTTGGGGAGCTTATAACCGTCTTTTAGAACATGTGTTCCCGCAGGACAGGTTGATTGAAGGCCGCCCAATTTAGGTCTAAAAAGGACAAAAATCCTTTGTAGGTAAATGTCGGATCACGTTGATTTTCGCTTCGACATTTACAATAAAAGAGTAAACAACATAAATTATTGTGGTTGATTATTAAGTTTATTTTCATTAAAAAAAAGTTTTTTCAATAAAATTTTTATTTTTGTGGTATAATTTTCTCTTCAACATTTTCAATAAAGGAATAAACAACATAAATTATTGTGGTTGATTATCAAGTTTATTTTCATTTGAAAAAAAGCTTTTTCAATTAAATTTCGTTTCTACATTTTCAATAAAGGAGTAAACAACATAAATTATTGTGGTTAATTATTAAGTTTAGGGCAAATTGCAAAAAAAACTCTCTTTGACTATTACTCATTTGCAATAAATCTCATTGTCAATGTTTTTGGCAAGAACTCCTCAATTACGAAGAGGGGATGATTTAACTTAATTTCGTCTGCCAATCTTGCGAGGTAATTTTTTTTTTATAAAATTATAATGGAAGTATGTATTTAGCTTATTTCGAATTTTCAAATTACACACTTTTTTGAAACGTGAGGAGTGATTTAACATTCACTAGGGGAATTTCTTACAAATGAGTGATAGTCAAGGGATTTTTTTTGTAATTCGCCCTTAAGTTTATTTTCTTTTAAAAAAAGTTTTTTCAATTAAATTTCTATTTTTGTGCTATAAATTTCTATTTATTTGGAGAGGGAAATATTGATTTATATTTCATATGGTAGGAAATAATTTATATTATTTGGTACAAGAGAAATTATAAAGAAGTGTTGAAAGTGAGAATAAAGGAAAAATATAAATACAGTATATTATTTAAGATGCTTGATTTTGTCTTAAAATAGTGATAAAGAATATATATTTTTTCTATTTCCGAAGTGTCAGCATTAGTTTGACGCGTACCGCTACTAGACGGCATTTTCGGTCAACAATTGCAAAACCCTAGAATGAATTTTTAAGTCGCAGACACACACCTAAACACCTAAGTTGTTCCGTCTATATATATAGCGAACCAAATGATACTCGTAAATCTCTCTCGTGGGTGAAGTGATGAGCAACTTCAAACAGGTATGTTATAATTCATATATATGTATATGCATGTATATTTATGTATGTATGTATGTATTTGTGTATATTTTGCCTCTCCTTTAAGCTGCAAAGGCACAGATATGATTATCTGTTTCTTGATGGCTTTGTTCTGGAGGCATATATTTAATCTCCAAAGTTTTAGGGGTTTAGTTTAAACCAAGGGCGGATCTAGGATTTCTCAAATGTTATGATTTTTTTTTTAGTTCTGAAGAGATTTCCATCTACAAAAAGCTTGGCATGTTGATAAAAATTGTTTCTGATTCAATCTCTGCATTCAAATTTTCTTGTAGACATAATTGACAAAAAAATAAAAAATAAAAAATAAAAAACAGAAATAGAAGTTATAGAAATTAAAAATATATATATTTGTTTTGCTGAAATAAAATGTAGATTACGGTGATTACCTCAAAATCAATGCAATGGTTACCTCAAAATGCAATGCAATGCAAATTTTGTTACTTTATATTGTACAATATATATATAGGATTTAGTGTGCAAAACAAGAATTACAGAACTTGATTAGTTGATTTAGAAGTTGAAAACCCATACAGCGGCTGAAGCTTGCGAACGGCGAACTGGACCAGCGGGCGATGGAAACTGAAAGATACGGGTTTTGATTTTTTGAACAATCTGAAATGATATGCCGATATGGGTTTTGAACTTTTGATTCTTGCAGTCAGATAGATAAACTGAAATATATGGATTCTTGTTGATTTTGTAGTTTGCAAGTTCAGAGTTGAGAACGAGAATAGAGATGGAGGCGATTGGGGAGGCTGAAATGATTTGGCCTAAAATATTTTTTTTTTTTCTCTGGTGGCCCATCATCCATGGGCCTATAAATTTGGAGGCCCCATGAATTTTGAGGCGTGACTTGGGCAGCTAGGCTAATTTTGGGGTGGGCTGATACTATTAATAATTCTTTTTTATTTTTGGGCTGGCTAAAATTAGTGCAGTAAAAAAAAAAAATTAGGTCCCCCTTGGTTTAAACCAGAGTTGTGGTTCTTGCTACTCTGGTCTCCCCTTATTTGGTACATTTCGATTAGAAAATTAATTTATTTTGCTTTTCTACAGTAGCTTTGTGCTTGGATATTGATATTGCATGAAATTAATATTTATACTAATTTTATGTCTAAACACAGTTGGTTTGGCTTGTTTTAGATCGTCTTCTTGGCAACCGGTTGTCTTGATGTCTTCCCTAAAACATTTTGTTTTTCATAAGTTGATATATTTGCAGCATTAGTTTGATTGCGTTGGATCTAGTAATTTTGATTAGCGGTGGTAATTTTGATTATGTTTTTATTATTCAAGGTTGTGACATTTAGGCAAAGCATGCAATAAAGACTGCATTGTTACTTTTTTGTTTATATAGAAATGGTAGACGCGGTTGTTTGGCAACTATGGTAGCAACTCGTTGCACAAGTGAATGGAAGCTTTACACTATTTGAGTAGTTTATTGTAAACAAAAAATTAAACTGAGATTCCCTTTCATGTTGTTCTTAGGTGGTTTGGGACCATGTGATCTTTGCCTATCACAAAATACACCAATGTGTCGGCATTTTGTGATTGGCCGGGACCACATGATTACGGACTACCTAATACTTTCTAGATCCTTACTTTCTAGCAAAGCTTGTCCCACTGTCAATAATCAACTTCAATTATTTTTCATTAGTCATACAAGAAAAGTACTAAAACACTAACAAAAAAAAATAATAAAATTAATGTTACTTATATAATGCAAAATTCTTTGTACATCTTTGCCTTATTTTTAGATTTGTGCGTTCCTTGATATTGTGGATTTTAATTCTTTTTAAACATATAAGTTTCAAAGTCACTACTTAAATTGCTTTTTACGACATTAAAAAGGGATCAAGATACATAAAGTTGAAAATCCTCGAAATTATCTTTAACTGAATCATTGTGTTTAACCATTATCCATTTATTCTTGATGCTGTTGTGACACAATGCCTCTCCTTTCGGCTGCAAGGACAAAGATCTTAGTAGGATCAATTTATTGATAGCTTTGTTTTGAAGGCATATATTAGTCTCTGTTGATGGTAGTTCGTGATGATGTGAGAAGATCATTCCACGTCTGTTGGGGATGCTGAGATCAGAGGTTGAGTAGAGTTCCTAGCTAGCACAAGGGACTCTCCGTAGAGGAGCTTGAGAGAGAGAAGGCAGATTTGTTTAACACCCTATGGTAGCTCGAGCCCTAGAGGACCATTCTCAATGGTTATGGTTGTGCATATGTATATTTTTCAACTTCTCTAAATGGTGAGAGTTAAGCTCTATTTATACTACTTTTATTTGGGTAAGGACCCTTGGTCATAAGAGCCAACGCTCTCTTTACCCAATGGTCGCTTTACCTAGGTAAGGACCCCTTGGTAATGAGGGTAGCTCAGTCTTTATCCAATGGTCATTCTATGAGATATATATTTAATGTATTATGTGGTCTCTACTACCCGAGCTGAACTATTAGGTATTAAACATTCTCTTCCCCTTGTGTAGACCTCGAAATGAGGCGATTCCATGGAACTCAGCCACCTAACCACTGATACTCAGATTCCCGCAACTGAAGATAGGGAAAGAGCCTTCCTCAGGGTTCCTCCTTCTCGGCCCCGCGGGCTCTATCATATCCTGGATCTGTGCCTCGATGTCCCTAGAGTTAAAAGGGAGCTTGAGAAGAGAAAAATACCCGAGGTTATGCCTGCAGGAAGCAAACTCGGAAATGAAGGGAGGAGGGGTCCATCCGACTGGAGCGGGGCGCCTCCACAGGGGAGGAAGGGTAGCGACCCCTTCCTCGGTTAGTAAATTCAGTTGTAGAACGAGTAGCTCGAGGATACTTGGTCCTTTCAGGAGCCCTATTAGCCAAGTGTGCTTATTTTCAGAGATGGTGTCACTCGAGCAGACGTCGTGGCACGTATATCAACAGGCTCATGCAAAGTCTTGGGGCTTTAATCTTATCTGGAGTTTGTGACCTTCCTTTTGTGGCTCCCCTTTGTTAAGTTTTTTTTAATAGATGTATGTTTCTCTTCTTTTTTTTTTCTTTTTTTTTGTCTTTATTAGAAAAATTATTTATAATTTTTAGTTAAAACATTTCTATATGCCTAGATTCTACTCATAACTACTGAAAAGTTGAGGAATATGAGATCTTAAAGCTTTAGTATGTCATATAAGTTGGTATGCAAAGTTGGCCTAAGTTTTGGATAAAATGATCTGCCTATTTATTTGTAAAGAATTTATGTTACATGGACTCATAAGTGTGGAGGGAGCAGGGATGGGTTTTATTTTTTCTTTATTATTATTATTATTATTATTATTATTTTCTCATTCATACGTAGCTCAATTGTTCGTGCTGTATATAGCCAATCAAAATGATACTCGTCAGGGGAGTGATTAGCAACTTCATTGCACTATTAATAATAATAGTGATAATGTCTATATATTTTGTGGTTCATATATATATGCATATATGTGTGTGTGTGTGTATTTGTGTGTTTGTGTATTTTTGCCTCACCTTTCAGCTGCAATGGCATAGATTTGATGATCTGTTTCTTGATGGCTTTGTTCTGGAGGCATATATTCAATACCCCAAAGTTTTAGGGGTTTATTATTAACCAGAGTTGCTGTTCTTGCTACTCTGGATTCCCCTTCTTTGGTAAATTTCTATTGTAAGATTAATTTTCTTTTCTATAGCAGCTCTGTGCTCCGTTTGGTTGCCTAGAAATTGCAAGAAATTAAGTTTATGCTAATGTTAAATCTAATCAGAATTGGTGTGACTCTATTTTAGATCCCTTTCAGTATACAAGCTTTCCAAGTCTTCTAGGCAACCATAAGGGTCACATGGATCATTTGTTGCAAGTTCGTGGCTTGATGTTAACGAATATCCGTCATGTTTCTCATAAGTTGATCCGTATACAGCGTTAGTTTGATTGTATTGGATCTAGTAATTCATCAATGGTGTATTGGATTTATTAATTCATCAATGGTGGTCTTGGCACAGGACCTTTGCTGTATCATGAGAGGAATTTAGTCACTAGGGTTCTATTTTATTACTCAAAGCATGAACCGAAGATTGCAATTGCTTGGTGGCTTTACTTTGCACTATCGATAGAGAGATGCCAAATGTGTCTGCATCATTTTGAACCATCGATAAAGATGCCAAATGTGTTGAGCTATTTAATTTTATCGAGATCTACCTATGGCCGGAGAAGAAGGTAGACAATGTTAATGATGTGTCTTTGAAACTTTTTTGACTTGATTCTACCAATTCGTTGAAATTAATAATTAAGTCATAAAAATAAAAAAATATTATAATCTGAATCTAAGTACATACTTCAATAAAAAAGGAAAAGGAAAGAACGTGTAAAATTAAGATTAAATTTTTGGCCCTTGGTCTTCATGATTTTTTTCTATTCCTTTCTATTTTTCATGATTATTAAATATTAGAGTAGTTTCTTCAAAATTAAAAAAATAAATTTTAAAACACAAAATAAAAGAAAACAATTTTTAAAAATGGAAGTTACTAATTATTTCTTCTTTCTCCCTCTTTTCCCAATTTTAAACCGATAGAAAATAGAAAGCAACGCGTGGTCATTTTTACCTTCCCAAAAATTTAAAATGGATGTATAATTTTATATTATGAGGTTATATTGGTTAAAAGAATATAAAATTCTCTTTTGCTTTCTATTTTTGGGATGGGTATGTAATTTTATATTATGAGGTTATATTGGTTAAAAGAATATGAAATACTCTTTTGCTTTCTATTTTTGGGATGGGTATGTAATTTTATATCCTAAGGGTATATTGGTTAAAAGAATATGAAATTCTCTTTCCCTTTTTTCTAACAACAAAAAAAAAATGTCTCATACATTTTTTTTCCTTGTCTTCTATTTAATTTTTCATCCCTCCAACCAAAACGAAAAGGAAAATTGTTTTCTTTTACTTTTTGTTAGAAAATAAAGAAAAGTATTTTCTATTGTTAAGTTATAATGAAAAATAGGTATGAAGGGAAAATATCATGAAAAGCAAAGGTGGAAAATAGTAATTTCCCTTCAGTTTATATATATATATATATATATATATATATATATATATATATATATATATTTATTTATTTATTTATTTTGTTCTTCTTTAAAAAATCTTTATTTCTAACAAGATAGCGCTAAAATTTGAAAGTAGAAACATTTTTAAAGATTCTGAAAATAATTTTTGTCTCCTTCTTCCTCCCTCTTTTAATTTCCCTCTAAACAAATGCAAAAAATTTCTTGGGTAAGTATAATGACACCCCCTAAGATTTGGGGTAAAGACAAACATATACAAGTTGGCTTATTTTTGGATGATGACACTCCCTCAGTTAGTTTTAATAAAGATACATTCATAATGATGAATTGACGTTACTACCATTTGACATATTAAATTATCAATTTAAACCATACAACTCTTTTTTATTGACTTAAATACCTTTAGATCAAATAAATGTAAATGGATTACTTGGTGCAAATTATCTGAGAAACCCAAATTTTCTCTCTCCTCACACTCTTCTTCTCTTTCCCCTCTCAAACCTAACACAAACAAGCCGCCACATCCTCTCCCTCAAACCCACCATCGTCTCCATCCCCAAAACCACCCACAACTGTATATTCACAACTGCCACCACGACGATGAGGGAGCAGCAACAAAGCCCCGAAAAAATGGAGGTCAATCAAATCCGTACATACGGATTGACCGCAACAGAGTCCCACAGCAGTTCTGACGAGCAAGGAGTGGACGACGATGAAGGAACGAACATGACGACAGTGAAATGGAGACAGTAGAGACCTTTGAAGAACCCACCAGCAACGAGCAAGGATGTGTTTGGTCGACGGCGAGCAAGAAAGATAGCGGATTTTTGAGGGATCTTTAAGGTTCAGTTAAGAGTAAGGGTTAAGCATGGACGTGGAGACTGACGAATTGAGATGGGTCGCCGGAACTGAAACTAAGGATCACCGAAGCTTACCGTTGGGTACATTGGCAATACGCGCGAGGGAATCCATTTGCAAGGTGTGCTGGGTCGAAGGCTGTTTCAGGTCCGACAACTGATGGCGTTGGAGGAGGCCATTAACGATAGCATCGGCGTCATGTTAATGTCTTTTAGTGGAAAGATGGGTTGCAATCATCACCTTTGCCGCCAAACCACATCTCCAAAACAAAACCCACCACCAATAAAATCAACAACACCACCACCATCCTTGTCGCACAACCACCAGCAACAGACATCACCGCTGCTATCCTCATTCCGCACCTCACAACCACCACAACCATCATCCTTATAGTCAACAACAGCCGCCGCTATCCCCATAGTCCACAATTGTTGTCGATATCCCCATAGTTGACAACCACCGCCACCATCCCCATTGTAGACAACCATCGCCGCCATCTCCATAGTTGACGATGATTTAGAGCAGAGAAAGAATGTTGAAAGAAAGAGGGAGGGGATCGGGTTTTTGGAGTTCAAATTGGGGGCATTGCTCTAAGATTACATTAATGCCCATATGTTTGATAACGTGGCATGCTCTAGTGGTTATTTTTGTCCAAACAAATATGGTTAAAGTGTTTATATATATATATATAGAGAGAGAGAGGGGGGGGGGGGGAAAGGGTAATTCGGTCCTCCAATTATTTTGATATTTTACCATTAAAATTAATCAAATAATGAAGGGTAAAGTAGACTTTTCACATATTTTTGGGCTCTGTTTGGATTTCAAATCTTACCAGGGTATCAATGTCCAAAAATAGGCTAACTTGTATATGTCTGTCCTTACCCCAAACCTCGGGGTGTCATTGTACTTTACCCAAAATTCTTTTATCCTCCTTCTTAACCATCCCTCCTCAAACCTTTTCTCCAACGAAAAATAATATAAATCCATCCGTAAATATGTACAAAATAAGGACTTTTATAGCAGGCGGTAAAAGTTAAGATTGATATGTACTTGATAAGATAAACTATTGGGGAAAAAAATAAAAATAAGATAAACTAAAATCATTTTCATGTTTAAGTTTTCAGATAATTTCAGTTAATTTTAGGTTCATTTATTTAAGAATATTTTTCCCTTCCTTTTTCCTAATATTTCTTTAGATTTAATGATAATCAAACCTCTATTTATCACAAATAAATAAATAGAGGCATTGTGCTTGGTTTTGATTTTATTAGAAATAGTACTGTCTTTTTTTAATCAATTTTGAAGAATGAAAAATTCTCTCAAACCATCCCTGCTGCCCTCTTGGAAAAACCCAATCCCCAATCATCTAAAACCACCATTCACTCCCTCTCAACTCCACAAACATACGTTTTCACCTCAGGCCTCATCACCAAAGCAAATCACCGGTAAACATACCATTTCATCTCACTCACCCACTACTATCAAGTCCACTCCTGCACATAGAAACCATCTCTCTACCCACGCAGTCCTAAGCACCCACACAGTAAGGGCAAGCTTCCAACTTCATGTCATCACTCTCCTACACCACTAAATGGTTCATGTTCATATTTGAAGGCTACTACATCCATAAAGAAGGCCAATATCACAGGTCTGGGGTCCCCCTTTGTCACAGGTACTACTTTGGAGAGGGTAAAGAATGTCCTACAGAATGACATGCTTCTAACCCCTCAAGATTGGATATTGTGTATCTTCTGGTGGGCATTGATGATGTTGTTATAGATCACTCGAAGTTTGAGCTCATTGAGGAGGTTTCAAGGCTTTCATCAATGCTAGTTGACAAGGATTTAGAGTTAAAGCAAGTTCTTGATTGCCTCTCAATACTCACAAAAGGATGTTAATGCTCTTAACTCCCAGTTGCAGGCTAAGTTTTATCCCTCTTCTCCAATTATGCAAGATTCTACCATTGTTGCTGATGTCTTCACAGTGGGGGCATCACACATGCCAACCAGCTATACCAATGAGGGTGATCATTTTCAAAATTCAAATGGTATGGTAGGTTCTGATTCTACCTCCAAGTCAAATCGGGTTGAAGGTATTACTCCAACTCCTTTCTTATGTCACGATATCTTTTATAGCTTGTTACATTTACTAAAATAGCTTGACTTGAATTGTCCTACT